TAGTAGGTTTGAGGCCATCGCGCCATTGCTAGTAGGTTGGAGGCCATTTTGTTTTTGCTTCCGTGTTCGGCTGGTTTTGTTCCGGTCCGGACCACGCTGGCGTCGTACCGCACCTGTTGTCGTTGGCTCCGCCCACTGTCGTGACCCGTCCATGTGTTCGGGAATGGCCTTTCGGATGGAGCGAAGCGCAGGGCGGGGTTGCGCCCTCTCCGTACTGGAAGCATTAAGGTCAAGGTTCTTTGAAACCTTAGCCAGGATTTCAGACATCTTGGTTGTGTTCAACCGAGTTTTTGTTCTTATTACTCAGACTCAGACAATGAGGTCGTGCCCCCCTTTTCTTTCACCACAGTTCTTGCTAAAGCATTGCTGAACAAAATCCCTTCATCGACACTCTTCATGCAGGTGACCGCAGGTGTTTGTCCATGCTGAAAGATGGAATGTGGGCAACCCAAGCACCATACGGGTGTCACCGTATTTGTTCTATTGGTTATAGTCTAGTTATATTCTGAAGTATCTAATATCGAGCAATTTCGAGTGTGCTTGCACACATGTTATTTTCTGCATGATGTTTGACGATCAGCACAGCAACAAAAACCCGCCGTCGACGGTCGTTGCGACCGCTTCTCCAACTCACAGATCCTAGGAGGAGTTTGTTGCGATGAAGGCCCCTTCAGTGGACTCTCGACTCTATATTCAAATGCTGGCAGCATGGCTAGCTGCAAAACCATGGAGCCATCCCTCCATAGATGTGTGGGTTCCTTGGCTCATGAAACTTCATCAGTTGAGATCAGAATCGCGGCACGTCCCATGAATATATACATATCCCAGTACGTATAAAGTATAAATGATTTCATCAAGGTATTAATGATTGTCCGTGAAAATCAGAGTCCATTGATATCCACATATATCCACAAATCTCCCGTTTTTGCCTTGTTTTTTTGGTGTCGCAGTTGGTGGTCCGAGTGCTGCGGATGTGCTGCGCATGTGCTGCTGCTGCACTCCGCCGTCCAGGAGCTGGAGAAACGCCCTGGGAGAGTTCCACCTGGAACAGGCTGGGGACCAAGTGACGCAGCTGTGTTTGGAGCGGGTCAGCCATGCCTCAAGAGACCCAAGAGAGGCGTTTTTTGAACGGATTTTCCTAAGGATCGGAGGGCCGAATCTTTTCGGAGTTGGTCCCAAGATGTGGTGATGTGGGAAGTTGGAGTTTGCACAGCATAGTGAACCTTAGTAGGTTAACGGTTTTGTTTCGGAAATAGATGGAATTGGTGGGTTTAGGTTTTTTTCGGCGGGTGGAGACACTGAACTCGAACCAAAAGACATGGTCCAGGCGTGCAAGGCAGCAATGTATTTCAAAAGCTATATGCAGTCCAAGGAGTCAAAACTGTACATTCAAACATAGAATCATTTGGATGGATATGGATGGTGTCATCCATGGCCATATATCATACTCCAAAACGGGGCCGAGGCCCGACGAAGGCGGAACTTCGGTGGTTGAGAAGGGGTTGGTTCACCCAACGCAGTCGTACCCTGGATTTTTTGCGGAACTTGGATCAGAGGTTGCTGGAGATTGCTTTGGTCCTACGAACCCATTAACAAAAAGTGTCGGGTCAGGCATCTATCAAGTCCGACAAGCCTACCGCGGTCAAAGACTGCTACGTCTTTGGACATTGGAAGAAGACAAGGAAGCTGGTTGCATCCCATTCCGTGTTGCACCCAGCCCCTTGGCACCTCCCGCTCACTCCGTTCGTTCTGAAGCTAGACCTCCTTCTGCGTTCGACCTAAATAGGGCCTGAACAGATCAAAGGCCCCTGGAGCACACCAGCCGTCACCAACCTGTGAAAGCACCAATCATTTGGTGGTGAACTCCTCTTTTGATGGCTTTTCTGTGCAACCGTGGTGCCAGACGTCTCCTCAATGAGCGCTGGTTTGCCGGGTGCGGGCCTCGAGCAGTACGAGGCGCGGCGTCGACCCTTTTGGGTGGTCTTTGTCTCTTTCATTACCACCCCCTGTCTCTACCAAAACTGTTTACAATTTCGGCCTCTAAAACAGTGGTACTATATGTCCACTAGAGGCAGGGATTTTGACTTTGAGACAGACTCTATAGTTTTGGATCGCCCACCCCAAAGTCTCCGGAAAACCGGGCTGGTGGCATCGGCGAAAAAACCAACGCCACCCCTCAGGCTTTGGTGAACGTAAAAGTAGAACAAAGAGTTGTCCTACCTTTGGACACCCAGTGACCAAGAAGAATCATCACTGATAAGGGCCCCCTATACACAATTATCTAACGTATCTACAATCAGTCGTTTTCACCCTTGATGCCTGTTTGTGGGTTATCCAGGTCATCACATTGTTTGCTTGTCTTCGCGGATGGTTGACCAAGCACTTCATCCACCATGCCGTTGAACTCCCTCAGATCTTGCGGTTCAGATCCCGCACTTCGAAAGGATATTCAGGTGTAGACGGTGTAGTGCTAATTGCGTGAACATTTTTGCATAGCAAGAAATAAAGGAAATGGTTGGTATGGAAAGGAGGGGTGAAATATGTGAAGACGTGCAGGGGTTAGGTCAAGTGGGACAGCATGCCACACAGGAGAAATGCTTAAAATCCGAGAGCCAGGAAACTTTTGTAAGATTGTTGCGCATATCCTGGCACAACTGTCTTTTTTGACTGGATTTGGATGGATTTGGAGTGACTAGACTAAACCGAGCATCGGAGAGTTTTTGTATGCCACCGTCAGCATGGCTGTTTGGGAGATTTTCGGATACTTCCGTCATGGGCACGTATGGGGACTATGGGGACCGTGCCTGACAAGGGTGGGCGAAGAACTGTTCCACGTAGCAATGGAGCCATGAGACCGAAAGGGGGGTGCGAATACGAATGTTCTCGCCCCAAAATGCTCGATGTGTTCTAGAATTAGCTCAGATTAGGAATCAAAGCGGCAGAAGTAGGTCGGTTGTCGGTTTTTTAGATGTTATTTAGCATGCTGGTGTCATGTATCAAGGCTTGCTTGTTCGGACATGGACATTCTTTGACATTTTGCATGATGGATAGACCAAATCTGTCCCAACAGAAGCAGGTTGGCTAAATTGGGGACCTCAAGATGAACAGGTTCTCAGATCCCCAGCTGCGATCATTTCCCTTCCCTCGTCATACTTTCCCAACCCAGTTGAGCAACTGTCATTGTTTCAGTCCATTTTTTGCCCTCTGTCCACCTATCACCTGCCACCCTTGCTATGCGCTTTGTATCAGGAGAGGCTTCGAAACTTGAAGGCCGACGCGCTGGAGAAGGACCTTGTCAACCAGAGCGGTCGTTCTTCTTGGATGTTCGACCAGAACCCGACTCTACAAGTCACCTGTCAGACCTGAAAGGACCCAATCCTGGTAGGTATTACACGTGCATAGCAGCGCTCAGAAGGGATCGAGCAAAAAACGGTAGTACCTGTCGTTTTCGTGAAGCCAGGTGAGACCCGTGTCCATCAAATGCTTTTTCAGGTGCTTTTTCAGGGTGATCTTTCTGATTCCCATCTGGGCGACTCCCCTTTATTTTGGTCTTCACTTCCTTCAGCCTTCTGGAGGCCTGGCTCCAGAGTTGGATTTGAGTCTTCACATCTCTCGAGGATGCTCGACTCCTCGACGCCGAAAAGAAGTTGGATCACTTGGCCAAGGGCATGGGTGCAGAGGCAGGGTCATTCTTCTTCGCGTGGCGACGGAGTAGGCACGACCCTTTAGAGACATGGCTTGGAAGATGTTTGGATGAGATGATGATTTGGAAGATTTTGTTTTTCCCACTCCATGGATTAATACATGTTGGGGATGCTTTCAATCACCAGAATATCTCATATATATAATATATATATATATGCATTCATGAGAGGAACACAGGGTGGGAGTTCTCCTCCCACCCACTTGCAACTACCCAGCTTCCAGTCGGACCAGGGACGGGAGTCCAAATCGGTCGCTTAGAGCGACTGAAGGAGTGGATTCAAGCATTCCATAGATAATCATATACATAATGTGTGATTTATGTTTGGACTCGAAAACGATCGCAAAGAACAGCAAAGATGAACAAAAGCTGCACAGATTTGTGCCAAGATGTTCAAGTTGCTTAGTTGTATATTATATATATAATAGATTTAAGCATATTTATACAGTAACAGATAAGCACAAGCAAATACAAACACATGATCATGAATCTCTAAAGGCGCATGCCTTTATATATATATATATATGTAACAAACAAACAAAACACATAAAACAAAAATAAAATCAGCCGCGCTCCTGATGAATCTGATCAAGAAGATCACCCGGACACCGGGACATCAGCTTGCACCAATCCCCCCGCCCCGTCGGCGCCGCCCCGTCGTCCTTTGGGCGTTGCTCCAGGCCATTCTGGCGGAGAATCGCCAGCTGGCGCGCGAGGCCTCCGAGATGAAGCGACAGGCGCCCACCGAGCACGGGCGCAAAGAACGCGCCAAAGCAGCGAAGATTTTTTTCAAAAAAATGAACATATCTTATGCGTCATGCGTGCTTGCTCCTAGTAGTAAGGCCAGGATAGGAGCCCCTAGTACAGTAGCGTCCTTGTGTCCAGTATAAACGGCACCGTCGGGGGGGGTTGGGATTCACCGATGCGCTGGGTTTGCACCCGGTGGGCGAATCGGTCAAGAATGCACTGGGCACCAGGTGATGGTTCAATTCGCCATGTAGGATGTTGAAGTCGTGAACCCCCGGGGTTTTGGCGGACATGTATGGTGCTGGAGTCAGATCCTTTCTGCAGCAGAAAGTATCATATAGAGTCTAATAGACTACATTCTCAGTAGAGATGTTGAGCATTGCTAAACAGCTAACCAGACAACCAGCGGCGTTTCACCTTCGTATGTCCTTCATCCTCCTTCATCCTTGTCTTCGTAGGTGGCGGAGGCCAAGCGGGATTTGTCCGTCTACCTGTCCGAGGCGGTTCGGCTCGCTTCGCTTCTCCCGGTGGACAGGACGAGCCAAGATCGCCCGGGAGAACTCGTGGGTCATACCGTTTGTCGAACTCGTGGGTCATCCAAAGAAGCTTTGCGAAGCTGGTCGCGAAGCTGGGCGGTTCATGTTTGTGGCTTCTTTGGTATTGTTTCTGTGTTGTTCATGTCTGTCTCTTTCGAGTTTCCACAGTGTTTTGTAATTGGTATGTGCACAAAGAAGCGTCTTTGTTCCAAGCAGCCATGGGAAATCTCGAATGGGTTCCTTTGGGCAACATCAACGTGGTTGTCAGGTTGTCGTGCTTGGCGATGCATGGTGGTTTGATGATGTTTGATGGTTGTTTTGTGGGGGGCACCCTGGAAGGGCAGAAGTGATGGTTAGATATGGATCTTAGAAGGAACTGGACCAACTTTGCTCAGAGGTGTGCTTTGGTGGATACATAAGCCTTTCCACGCAAACACAAGCCTTTTAAGGAGCTCGATGGATATTTAGTTTGATGGACCAGGTCCTTTCAGCCTTTCCGGGTCCCGACAAAACCGCTGACGGGCTGGCTTTGAGGTTCGGCACCGCCCCAAGGATGTGATCAACAGAGTGGGTGCAGGGTGCATAGCACTTCAATTTGCAGGATCCATAGCACTTCTATGCACTTCTCTACTTCACTCAGGGCCCACGATGGTGTGCCTAGAACTTGAAGAGGCGGCAAGCATCGTCTATGAGAACGACCTCCTCCGTGGTCTGGCCAACGTGTGCCTTGGAAATGGGTTTGGGGTGTGCTTATTTTGTGGATCAAATCAGACTAACAAATCTTGATATGAAGGAAGGAAGAAAAAGGACACCAGCCCATCAGGGACACTCGCTATGCTTTTGGTTTGAGTTTGGAAGGTAGAAATCAGAAGGGTGCTTTGAAGGCACAACAACATTTGGGAAGGCACACCAACATTTGGGAACTTGAAAGCACTGCTGCCAATGACAGGTGCAAGAGAGTGACGGGTGGAGTCGCATGAGTGACGGGTTCGTCGGGAGTTTGAGTGACCGAGAGGTCAATGGAGTTTATGGCTGGGCTGATTTTCTTGTTCTTTCCCCCCTGCTTGAAGTGCATGTGATTGGGTAGCACACGTCGAAGAAGGCTACACTATATATAAATGATACTATGACATGTGTATATACATGAGCAACTGCCAAAACCTCCGATGAAGGCAGCATCACTACAGTGAAGACTAAGTAAGTCCAGTGAAAGACACTTTCAGGAACCTAGACGACTCAGCTGAGGAAGCCCGGGCAGCTGAAGCTTGGCTCGCACTGAGGGGACAGGACTCTTTTACGAGAGACCCGGACGAGCATCCCCATGTGAGCCGCGCTAAGAACCTCCCTGTTCATGTTTAGTAGAGGGCTTGTCATATGAATCCTTCGCGTAAGCAAAACTCTGATGTGCGTAAGGTTGCGTAAGCATTTTTTGTGAGATGAAACTTGCGTAAGCCGCGTAAGCAAGTCGAAATTTAACATACCATGTCACATGTATTCTTGAAATGTTTGGAAATTATAGGAGACCTTTGTTGATGAAGCCTTGCATTGGATCTTTTTCTTGGCAATTGGTATGGTCGAAGGTGATTGGCTCCACAGAAAGAGTCATTTATATACAGGACATAGGCATCAGGACAGAGATTTTGTGGGTCGACACATGCAAACATTACTCCTATAGCCATACAAACAACTCCCGTAGCCATAAAGTCTACCAGCAGTTGTCAGACACACTATGTCACCATGCAGTTATCGGTTTTGGTGTCGGTAATACGCGTAAGGCGCGCGTAAGCTTCGCGTAAGCTGCGCGTAAGCCCCCCCTCTCTTTTGTAGACGGTGGCCCACGATGCCTCCTAAAAAGCAGGCTTTTTCTGACTCGCAATGGCGCCAAAGGCAACGCATTGTCCAGACCATCTACGAAATCCTGGCTTCTCACTGCCCTACACCCGCGGACGTAACAAACCTGTTGTGTGCTGTGCTTTGCTTGGAAAACAGATGGCGCGAAAGCTGGCGCTGTGGCCGGGTGCAAGATTGTGTTCGCGTAAGTGTTGCGTAAGCCCCTTTGTGTGCAAAGTGTGCGCGTAAGCTGCCATTGTGGTGGCGTAAGCCAGGCGTAAGCTGCTGCGTAAGGAAAGTCTTACGACATAGGCAGATGCCACACGTTTTGAGCACAGCTCATGTGTTGCACGTGTAGACGACTCCCTAAAATCATAGAAGTGGATGGCATTACCTGTTTGGTATTCGGAGTTCATGGTCATCTGAACTCGGGGTCGTGCCATCCATGGACAGGGGGAGTATTTATTTTTCCGAAGCGGACGGACAAGTTGTCCATTTGGCTGGCGTGCAAACTGCATCCCGAAGGTGTACTGACTTAGACACATGCAGCATGGGGCAATGGTTTCGGGTGCGTGAGTACAATCTGACCACTCTGACTAAACTGCTTCTAGACTTTTTGGGGCTCCTCGTGGATGTCTTTTGTAGGAGATCGTTGAGTTGTGTGAGCTAGCTTCAGCTAGGAAACTGCCTTCCCAAGGAAACTGCAAGACTTCAAGTTAAAGGACAAGGTGACCTCCGCCAAGGCGACGGCGGTCGCACCTCGGCGAGAATTTCAGAGAGAGCTTTTTCGCATCTACGGTGGTGGAACCAGGGACGGGGTCTCCCGTGGACTTCCCTGGTGTGTGTATATATTTGTAGGGCTCCAGTCGTACCTTCTAAGAAGGTGGGACTGAGGTGGGTGCCAAGAGGGTCCAGTCATACCTTCTGAGGTACTTGGAGCCCTAGGGTATATATAGTCGACGATCATGTCAATTCTGTTTCATTTGGTGGTGAAAACGCTGTCCGGTTTGGGTTTGAATGCATAGGCAGATATCCATGTTGGGGAAATTGAGGGTTGCGAGAGATTCGTCAAGAAGATGTGTGCCAAGAACCCTGGTTTATGGCAATGCTTGGTGTGCAATGCTTTGGGGGGATGTGAGCTACAATAAGCAGGCTTGGCGCCAAGCTGGGATCACCTCAGAAGAAGGCTGAAGTGGCAAGCAGGTGTGCAATGGTTTGCAAGGTTTCCCGATACAAAGGTACACAATTGAACATTCTTAGTGAAAGCTCGCCATAGCTCACCATTTCCGGGTCCCAAACACCATTCATCTCAGCACCCTCATTAATAACCAGCGACTGAGGCCAAGCACCTGGAGAAGGAGGTGGCGGACTTGGAGGCGGAGCGTACCAAGCTCAAGCTCCGTGTGCGACAGCTCTCTGAATTGGCGGCCGAGTGCCCTGGTGGAAACTGAGGGCCGATGGCGGAGGGCGTTCGGGTGCCGCAGATAGGGAGGGGGAGCAGAACAAGATATTATCTAGTTATGATGTATTGTATTGATATTGCCATGATATTGTTTTTGTTTGATTGTTGCTTCGGAAGCAAGACAAGAAGAGATGTGAGATGAAGATGGTGTGCAACCCTTGCCAGAGTCGAATGTGTAAACAAATTTAGTCGTATAGTTTCTATCAATGTGTTATCTACTACTAAGGGTCCAAAACCAGCTTAGCTGGGATCCTCTCGGAATATTTTTTTTATTTCACCCACTTGTTGGTGTCCGCCTTGGCCAACACAACTTGCCATGTACAACATCCAACGGCCGGCAACGGGCGAGAACGGCAATCTTTGGTGGTAGGTTGATGGGTGATATAGCTGGGTGATTGGTCGTGCACTCTCTCGTGATTTTTGGTCTCTGTGGCCATGTGGTCAGCCACAAAACGCTTGCCACGTTTCAGGAAGGTGTCCTTGTTGCATGACTTGCAGCCTGAACAAATGCTACAACTGGAGGACTGGATTTTTGCTGGGATGTGCTGGGATGTTCGCATGCACAAGGAGACTAACTTTTGGTGTCGCCAGTGCAGGAACTGAGGGGTTCCTACGCCAGGAAACTTTATAGTAGCCATAGGGGTGACGCACTATCTGGTCAGCACGGTGATTATATACAGCTACGTGCTCTCAGCCAAGTCTTTTGTTTGGAAGTAGGATTTGTAGGTGAGTTCATCCCCTTCGTTGCACCAACAAGTGATACACACCAAGCCGTTACATACTGCATCCAAGTTGCCGCGATTCTTTGACGTACCTGTTGATCCGAAGGAGATCGCCGCGCGCATGCGCCAAGGGAAGTTGGAGCTGCCTTTGGATGCCGCTGAACGGACATTTGGGGGAAATTGGCACCTGAGGCCCTTGTTTGATCAGGGCAGATCCTTGCTGACATCTTCACTTGCTTTGAAAGTCAATTGGTTTTCAAGGAGTCCATCCTCTCTCCATCCGCTGTTTCTTTTCCCAGTCTGCTGTTCGATCAGCAGACCCCGCTGGATCCGAGGATCAAAGCCGCGTGTTGAAGGAAGAGCGCGATGAGCTGAAGAAACGCTTGAGCATGAAAGATCATGAAATTGCCCAGCACATTGACAGGCACGCAGTTTTACACGTGCCGAGGGAGGCTCTTGGTCGGCAGAAGAGATGGGGTAAGTGGTCAGGTGTTGTAATGTTGTTCATGGTAAGGTAGCAAGAAGAGTAGCAAGAAGGTATCACGCACCATTTCCCCCCCTACCATCCTTCTATTGATGCTGGAACATCGTTTCCTGCTTGCTCTTGGACTTCTTTGCAATGAATGGATGAAGACTTACTTGGATCTCCATTTTGGAACTGAAGCGTTCTGTGTTGGCTGCAGACCCCCGCCTTGGACTCCGCGGTGGTTGACGCGGGACCGCGTCTGGAGGAAAGTGGATGAAGTGCTGCAGAAACAAGGAAAGACCAAAGACTTGGAAGTGAAGTTGGAAGCAAAGGATGTGCGACGCTACTAGTAGCAAAGGGCATCGCTACGAACAGAGCAAGGACGCTACGAACGGGGCTCCTGGCCTTACTACTAGGAGCAAGAACCTACTAGGAAGGATTTGCGTGTGAATCACGGGTGTAGGTGCTTTGCGCTTGTGGTGTCGAGGATGAAGTACTGAGGAACTCCCAGAGGGATTCAATGTCGGCCCAGAATTGGCTCATTTTCGCTCTACTGGACTCTACAATGCTGGCAAGGCCTCAAAGCTTGCATAGAGTCTATCATAGAGGGAACGTGTGCTGTGTTAAGTTATATATTGATGTTTGGCTACTTTATGTTGACATATGTTGACTATGTCTTCGCCTTCGCCGTTGACTTGTACCAGCCAATGCGGAAGAATGAGGGGATAAAATTGTTTGACAGTGTTTCTCTCAAGAGCTTCCGCGGTACGAGAGAGATGTCCTTTTGGTTCCTGTGTTCGATACACCTCACAAAGAACCTAGCAACTTCCACCTAGTAGCGATGGCCTCCAACCAAATAGCAATGACGTCCAACCTACTAACGATGGCCTCCAACCTACTAGCAACGGCCTCCAACCTACTATCGATGGCTTTGATCCCATTTGGGGTGACCGTCTCGACGGAGACCACACGAGACTCGACGAGTGGGTGAGTGGCCTCGAGTGCCTGGGGAGACTGTCAACCCGGGGCGAAGCGGTGGCAACACGAGTGACGAAGCGGTGGTACGTTGGAGAAATTCTGACATGTCTCGATCTTGCACTTCTAAACTGCGTGACTGTTGCGGATGCAACCCAAGGCACATGCTACACAGATGTTGGGAACAGCTTGCTGCAATCTCCATTTGAGCAAAGCGCACAAAGACACAAAACAACATGAAACAATTGCAATGACCAGTCTAGGAGTATCCTTCCCACTTTCCAGATGTTAGTCTTTGAGAGGTTTTTCATGGTTTTTCCTCTCTTCGGACTGACTTCTGCTTACGCCTGCGCCTGCTTACGTTGCTACGCCAGGCCATCCAGAAGGACAACGAGATCCTTAAGTCCTCACTGGAGGTTGGGAGTGGTGATGGGACTGGAAGATACAACCCTTGGACCTAATTCCTAGGGATTTAGTCGTACCTTCTCAGGTACGGTGATTGGAGACACGGATATATGTAGGTTTGGAGGGTCCAAGCACCTTCCATATATATTGATCCAATGAGATCCAGTTGAACCACCCCTATCCTGATCGAGAGTCTGTTCTGCCAGCCCCGCTGGTCCTGTTTGGGGTGTGGTTACGTGTGTCGCAAAGCGCAGTCGCTCAGTGGTCGCACAGCGACCAGTTGTTCGGGACACAACGGTTGGCTTTCGAAGTATTTGAAGTAAAGCATCGAAGCAGAAGAAGCAGAAGGGATCAGCACGGGGGGACCTGGACTGCAACTCTGAAAAAGACTTCCAATCCCGGTATCACGAGCAAAAACGATGCCTCCGGATGCCTCAGGAATCTGTTGACTGCTTACTGTCCAAGCCAATCATGGACGAAGTTCTAAGTGTTTATGTTTATGGCATAGGACACGATATTTGGTTCTTAGCACTTGCATTTCTGATGGGCACTTCGGTCCTCGATGAAGGCAGCAGTTGACCAGTTGACCATAAACCCGTGGCCGTGGATCGGTGCGGCAGGGTGCTACGAGCTGTTCGTGTTGAATTCGGTATTGGCATTGGCAGTCTTTGACTTGGGTGTGGGTGAGGAAAGAATATCATAACGTAAATCTATAAGAGGAACGATATCTGTACCTGACACGTGTCATGGCCCACGGCGTCACGGGTTCGACGGGGTCATGGCCACTGTGCTCTCCGCCATGAGATGTCGGAGCGGCGAAGCTCACGGGAGCTGAGAGCGTCTGAAGTTGAAACACACAGAGACCAGATGATTTGGGGTTTGTCGGTTTGTCCGAACTGACCTGTAACAGGACCTGTATATAAACAACATGTAGTTACTACTTTTGAACATTTTGAACAAGGCCTGCAACTGAACCATCATCATCCACTGTTACAGGTATTAGTATAGACCCAAGATATGATCCACTTAAGCTAATTGTTCAAGACATTTGCCAGGAAGTGTGCCAAGAGTCCAGAGATCTACAAGCATGCCGGCAAAATCTGCTTTTCTGATGTAAAGGTGTGCGACCTCCATGGTCCAATAGGCACAAGCTCTCAAAGACATCCCTGAGGGAAGTGCTGGCTGCAGTTTTTGGGCCTTCTTCCTCGAGACTCAGATTTCTACCTGCTTCCAGGCTTATCGCTCAGCCTATGCCAACCTCGCCCAGGCCAAGGGCTTGTGAGATCGTTTTAGCAAATTTAATAGAGATCCTTTCACGCGTTTTGCAAGGGTTGGCACTCTTCCAACATGAGTTTGCGGGGTCATAGAGACGTTCCTGAAAACCCTGAACAGAACACTGAACAGAGCTCGTTGTTTTGGCGCTGCGAAAAAATAAGAACCATGTGCCATGTGCTACTGCTAGGGTACAACCACATGCCGCCTGCAGTATGATCTTTGACGCCCTCCGCGTCCTCCGTTTCAGGGTGGCCCGGTGACTGATCCGGAGAGCTTCCTGTCGTGGCCCTGGAGAAGAAGGGAAAGCAGGGAGCGAAGCCGGTCGAGGCATCGTTGAACGTTTAGAGGGCTGCTGTAGTCGTTCTAAATCCATCTAAATCCAAGAAATAGATGCAATTTGGAGCACCGTTTTGGGATGTTTTGGGTTTGAACATGTTTGAACTGTTCCATTTTCTACCTCCAAATGTTCAATTCGCAGCATGATGCAGCAAGTAAAAATATGTTTGTCCCTTCTCTTGTCTGAGCAGTCTGTAGGCGGGGAAGCATTCGTCGGCACTCCAAAGACATCGAAGAAATGAGTCATAAAGTCTTGGTGTAACTCAAAGACTTGGTAACGTCAAGACTTGGCAACTTGGTAACTTGAGTAGATGGCACAATCACCAAGATGTCGGTGGTTTAGTAGTGGATCCCCATTTGTCGACCTCTTAGGCCGGGGTGCCAGTGGAACAGCCTCTGAAACCACGTGTTTCAGAACATGTTCCACAAGTTTTATCGCTGGAATTGGTGGGTTTTCTCTGTCCTCGTTCCGACGGGATCCTTCGTCCTTCACCGACCCGAACGCGGCCTCTCGACCGTGTCGATCCGTAGAGTCGATCCGACGAGTCGATCCGGGCGAAGGGGTGCGCCTGCCGATTCTGGGCGGCTTCCGGCTCGGCGGTCCAGACGTCTTCCTGGTTGGGCTTAGGCTTTAGGCTTAAGGGAGTTCTGTATTGTGTTCTATTATATAGTTTCTTTTGCGGCATAGGTCAGCACAAACTTCCTTCCAGGGTGACCTGGACCGAGTAGCAGATGGACGTGGAACATGAATATGCCTAGGATTCCACCTATAGACTTAGCTGAACAGCAAGACGTGGCTGAACCATGAGACCTTTAAAATGTTCTATTTCTCGGACCTTTTTGTCCGACATGATTGGGGTGTACCAGGTCGACCATCGATGTGTCCTCTTCCATTGATTAGAGCCTCTATAGTGGAATCGCCAGGGTCCCGCCTCCCAAATGAGGCGTTTGGAGGGCTTTTCCAATGGGTTTTCGCCTATCCACTGTTGCTTGCAAGGGATGTGAGTTCTGACAGACAGGGTGAAGACATGCAGTGGAGGTTGGGACACATGTTGGGATCCAAGACATCCAGGCCTTGCCCAAGCGCCTTTCGGCCTCAGGCGGCAGGGGCCACGTCCCCCGCCCCTGCCAGGCACGGGAACGTGCGGAACGGATGACGCGACGCGTCCGTTCTGATGTTGAAATCCCAAATCGGTATTGAAACACCCCACCCCGCCCCATTGGTTTCAAAATTTGTGGTGTTGGTACTACTTTCGATTCCAATCCGGATGAACTTGAAGGAATGCTAGCATAATTATGTTGGTCACTTTCTCACAGGAAGTCGAAGTCACTTCGAAGATCCTGGTGAATACGGGCAGCTCAAGTAAAGGATATATCGCAACTCTATTTGTACCATGTTATATACAGTTGGATCGATTATATTTCATAAAGTATCATAAACATTCATAAACTATATACCATAAACTAATATAACATATAGCTTAAACTATATATCGGTCTCTTGATCGATTGATCTATATATATATATATTGATCTATCTATCGATCTATCTATCTATTTATCTATCAACCTACCTATCTTCCTACCTATCTATCTATGTTCAAGGCCAACCCTCACTTTCTGGGTTGCATTCAAAGGTTTTCTGGATCTTGCAGAGATAGATGGAAAGGAATACGTTAATAGATGTTTCGGTGTTTCTGGTGAGCCTCCTTCCTTAGCCTTTCAGCCTTTACCAGCTGCATGCCACCTCGCCAGCTGGGCTGCATCAAACGCCAAAAATCTCCAGGTGCACCACCTGGCGTGCCACCTCCACCGCCAGCACCAGGCGTTGAATGTGATGGTTTTGTTGGGAAATCCCATTGATGTCCAGGAAGGGTCTTTTCGGAAGCACTGCCACAGAGCGCTGTTTTTGTCGCTGTGGTGATTTTTTTTCTTCTGTCGCCTGGAGGTCGATGTCCACCATAGCAACCAGACTTGACCCATCAAACCAAGAACCGTCCAGTCAATTGAAGCAATCAGACTTGAGGAGGTGGTGCTGGACTGTCATACTGCTGTTTGGTTCCTGTACCTGAAAGCCCAGTGAGACAGACATACCAGGGCCCCCCTAAGGGGTGGTTAATGGACATCCATTAACCTCTAAGGATATATATATATATATATTAATTGGACACCCCTCAGGGGGCCCTGGTACATGTTTAAAACATGTTAAGATGATAACAGCACATATGCACAGAACATCACAACTTACACTAATACCCATTCATAAGGGACGCAGGTCCTTTGACTCTTCTTGGGGCACCTGTTTGCCATTGTTGTTGTTGGTTGTTATGATTTAGGCTGTTTGTATTGTGACTGTTGCATTGTGTTTGTTGCACTTTTGTGTTTGATAATGTTATTTACTGTAT